TGCAAACTTGAACATTATTCCCAGTCCAATGTTAGTATAAGACACATTTTAAGACATGCTGCTCTTTAAATTGAAAAAGCATAGAATTGTCACAAATGTTCAGAATTATCCCCCATACTTTTTTATACTTATTATGCACTAACCATGAGTTACTGGTTATGCCTTCATTTTCCTTAAGAGCTTTAGTTATGAGTGCCTGAGGTGCTGCATTACAGCACTCATGATCTTATACCCTTACTTAGTATAAAGAATTAGCATTGTTCTAAAAAATAATGCATGACATGTCCAGTTATAAGCTCACAGTTGTGTTTAAAAATTGAAAGCTGATACTTCAGTACCCTACCAGGAAATTGACAAAAATTTTGCAATATCACATCTGTTTTTCACTCAATTTCTGTGAATTTGTCAAATCAGTGTTCATTCTTAGGCTTTATATACTATTGGTTTAAATTTCAAAGTAGATATATGTATAAAATGTTGGAAGAGATATTTGCAATTAGATGTTATTAATCTGACCTAGAAAATATCAGAATCATTTCAAAATTACACCAAAGTAAACAAATGAAAAATGATTTGAGTAGTACATGAAAGACAATGGTTACAATTAGATGAGACTAAAACACTAAGGCAACTTCTTTGCTACTCTGCCAAGTGTTTTGTGTTACATGATTATTGAGGTAAATTTCTATCCTAGGGACATGGCTTTTCTCAGGAGATTCTAACATTATATAGATCTTTCCAATTGAGGTTACTGAATATCTAACTTTGACATTTTTAGCCTAGAAGGCAATGCATGAGTATCAGATGTGTTTATGCAGGGTAACAGCTAATGACCATTGTCTAATTATATACATTGATATATCACATACTCATCACTAGTGTGAGGAGCCTGAAGTTGCATTGTTCTACTATTTTTATACTTGCTAAAGTAAATTTTTCAGTTGTATTAAGGAGTGCTGTATGATGTTTTTTTTTTTTTTTTGCGGTATGCGGGCCTCTCACTCTTGTGGCCTCTCCCGTTGCAGAGCACAGGCCCCGGACGCGCAGGCTCAGCGGCCATGGCTCACAGGCCCAGCCGCTCCGCGGCATGTGGGATCTTCCCGGACCGGGGCACGAACCCGTGTCCCCTGCATCGGCAGGCGGACTCTCAACCACTGTGCCACGAGGGAAGCCCTGTATGATGTTTTTATATTTTACAAAAGACTCCTATTTCCTCTTCTTTAATTTTCATAATATATGATAAATTTAACATTTAGAATTCATATTTATCGTGTGGTGCTATGCCTGGTTGCTGCATTCCTTATTATGAAGTTTTTCTGATATTTAGGAAGTTCTAATTTTTTAAATATAACTTCTCTGATGTAGCTATGGTTCCCTACTAGGCAACATAGACTCTATAACATAGATACATATGTTCTGGCAGTTATAAACTGTGATCACAATAAATCAATCAGGAAGGTGCATGAGATAAAATGAAATGGTTAGATTTTCTAGTATTATTGTCATGAAACCTTGTGATATCATAAGATTGTACTCATGACTACTTATAATGGCTTATCTGAATTTAACATTTTTGGTTTAGATGGCATGTTCTGTTTAACATCTGATATTTTGGAACGTGTTCTTGAGAGAATCAAAAATTCAATGAACTCTGTGCTGTGTTTGCTGAAAAAGATTTCACCACCAACCATGAGGTTGTTTCAGTATATGTTACAGTCTCACAGACTCAATACTATCAGTAAACCACTGCCTTTATTAGTTTTTGGAAATAATTCCAAAACTTAAAAAGAAAAAGATTATTTTAATGACTTTTGTGTTAACTCAGTCTACTTGATTATAACATCCATTCCTTTTCAAGTAGCACACTGAATTTAGTCATTATGGCCACATTGCTTATTCTACTATAAAATCCACAAAGTGTGAGTGTGTATTTGTAGCATACTAGAGATAACAGCATAATATGTAGAAGTGGAAAGTATTATATTAGTTTCCCTAGGATCCCATATATACACATCATCCATGTATTGGAAATACCAGTGAAGTTGGGCAATGTTCTCATCCACCACATTATGTTTTTTAAATCACCCACAGAAAGTGAAGTATCTAGTATATGAAACACACAAATTATATGTCAATAGAAAAAGATTACAAGCAATCTGAATAGTAAAAGTAACATTTGCTTGTTTCAGTGAATCAGTCTCTATCCTTTATTACTCAGTAATTATTTTTTTGTAAATTATTACTTAGTAATTTATTACATCTGATTCAAAAAAGTCTTGCCCTCTGATTTATAACAGAAGTTGTCTTTGCTAGTATCATAGAATGTTCTCTAATTTATGCACGTTACCTTTGCGATTGTAAAGAGCATCTGTATTCACCTGTTCTGATGCCATGTCAGAAGACATTTTGTTCTGAAACAGGTCAGTAGTTAAATTCACAACCTCTTCCACAGATCTGATGTGGCTTAACTGCTTTATAGAGAACACAGACTGATTGGCTGTTTAATACTTCATTCAGTCCAGTTAATAATATATAGAAAAATAACATTTGGCTAAAATTATATTATAGTTAATTTATGTAAGAAACATTACCTTGTTTACATTTATGTTTATATTAAAGTAATGAGAAATAATGAAACAGAAGGTGAATTATTTTTTGTCATTGTGAATGTGTTTTCATTTCAATTTAGGAAACCCTAGGTCTGAACTTTCCATGCTATCAGTGATAGAATGTTGAAAAATATTTGATATGTTGTATATCTCTATTGATACTGAACTTGTACATTATATTGTTTTATTTATTATTCACCTTGTTCTTGAATCACTATTCTTATGTGCTAGACCAATTAGTCACTCTCCCTTTCACTATTCCATTAGGATTGACATTTTTTCCCCAAACCCCAAGTGGAAGAGAAGTAGCAACCATACAAAATGCCTGGCATAAAATAGGCAAATAGAATCCCAATGTTTGTGATTATGCTGTACTTAATATTTTCTTATCTCTTGTAGTCTCACAACCTGAAAATTTAAATGTTCTAATAAACAGAGAAGCCATATATGCATTTTCTTATCACATAAATCTCATCTCATATTGAGGAAAATATGGCCCAACACTTATCTATGACATTTCCAGAATTCAAGCATAATGATAGAGTCTTTCCCTTCTTAATGCTATCGTTATTTTCTAGCCCTTTTATATTTATAGTCTTCTGATGAATCAAGATATTGTGACAAATGAGTAAAGAGGCAAAAGATTGCTTCTTTAGTTTCTTTCTCATTTTAGAGGAAAAAAAAATCAATTTTCAGTGCAGGTTGATGGAATTCCTCAGTGATTTACATATGTCCCCAAATGACATAGTTACTCATTTAAATCTTCAGCAAAATACAATTTCCAGTCTTTTTTTTTTTCTTGGCATCAGGCCCTAAAAAGATTAAACCCTCCCACAGGCAAACATTGTATAAATGAGCTTACGTATATAGTTCTTGCTCCATGCTCAGTAGAAGCGACTCTTTATAATACCAGCATTGTCTAGAATGGAAGCACTGAAATAAAGCTACAGGGCTAATTCTTGTCCTCTCCCCTTGCTTTCTTGGCCTTCACACACATAATCTCCATTATCTTGTCAAAATACAGTCTGCATTGCATAATGTTTTGCTGTAAAGCCATTAGCCATTACTTTTTTTAACTATCCTTTTTTCTTAGCCTTACTTTATGTTCAGGTTGTAAGAAATAACAATCTGCAAGGATTTGCAACATGCCCTCCATGATTACAAAATATTTTCCCCAACCAAAACATAAACGAGTAGTTTAACTGAGAGGCATTCTAATTTTCATGCTATGTTGAGTATAAATACAAATTCAAGGCAGCCAAACCAACCATTTCCAAATAAGAATGTATACCTACACTCATTAAAATCATCTGGAAATGTGTATTATTAGCAAATGAGTAAGAAATTTTCACTAGTATAAAATTCCTGCTTTATATAAAAGCCACTCTGGCCTTTCAAGTATTTTGAGGTTTTTTTTCCCCCCATAGTTCTATATTTGTACTAAAATGATGAATTTAGACTTGAAATTATATTAAAGGAAAATTAAAAGTCACTTCTACCTATAGGGCATTTTTAAAGTGTGCGTGTAAAGAGCAAAGTGTCCATCTGCAGATCCACCATCAACACTCCTTCTCTCTCCACTCTAAGGAAACAGCTCATGCTTACTAGGTTTTTAGAGAACAATTAACACTCCAATGGAGAAGCAACACAAGATTTCCTGTTTGTGCCAGTTTCCAAGTTAAAGGTCAAAGGGCAAAGACATAGAACAGGACTCTTCAAGGAAAATTTTCACAGAAGATAATGTTTAAGTTTTTGTTAATGACAGTCAACAGATCAATAATCAACTTCAAGGCAAGCTGTTCATTGTTTCAAAAGCTAATCCCCTCAAAAGCTGGCTTTCACACAAAGCCAATGTCTGACTCATGGGGTGCATTCGTTCTGACCATCTCTAATAAGTTCACAGCCCAGTGGCTGTAAAGCCTTTCACTGCAAGAAGCAGCGCCTAAAAATCAATTAAGAGGTCTGTCAGTTGCTGACTTTTCTCTAGGAAAAAAATATTGATACAAACCTGCTCTGCAGGTCACCTGAAAATGACAATACTGCTGTTAGGACAAATTACACTCAACAATGAAATGCTTTGGTGGTCTCTTGGCTCCGTCAGCTATCAAATGGATGGCTAAATGCCAGAAGCCACACTAACCCTTTGAGAACTATGGTTGACATGCGATAGATAGCTAATACACTGGAGGATATTCATGCAATCTCAGAGTCATCATTTTAATTCATTCTTTAGATGGCAATGCTAAGGGCGTCTTCCATGGCAAATTGAGTTTTCATGCAATGGATTTTAAAACAGAAATTGTGTTGTGTGTTGTGCCTAACAACAACAACAAAAAAGACAGGCTGTTATAATCAGTTGTTCAAATAAAATTTCACTCTTACAAGATATTTAATAAAATACCTTTTTATTTGCCAGAAAATTTTTGGCAAGTAACATCATTTCTGTTTGTTATAAATGCATTTATGTAGTAGTGTGAATCAACTACAAATTACATGGGGTTATAAGATATCTGTTTTAAAAACCTGAACTTCTTAAACCTATGCCTGTTTTTACCATTGCCCAGTTCAATAATTTACCAGATCCTAAGACTCTGAAAGCTGATTTGATAGTTCTCAAAGGGTTACACCAATGTATTACTAGTGTCCCATATCCTTATAAAATAACTGTCACTTTAAACCACTTTAAAGACATACTGCTTTTTGCTCCACTTATAATGAATATTCCTGACAGACCCATGGAAGGCCTGGGGCAGTGGCCTAATACAACTTGGGGAGATTATCACAATGATGTAGGGGTACGGTGGCAGGAAGGGGTTTAGAAACACTTCAAAACAATTAAAAGATCCCATTTGAATATAGCTGTGAATATAAATGTGATGAAACATTGAGAATATAGCTGAGAACAGCTGTATAAAATGAAAAATGGATGTAGTATTAAGGCTGTTACAATATTGCAGATATTTTGGCCCCTTGTTTGTTAGAAAATGGCTGTCCCAACAGTCTAAAGTCCGGCATGTGTATTCCAGGTCTCCCACCTGACAAAAACGAAGCATAGGAGACTGTCCATAGCAGTCAGAGAACTATCTTCTTTGGAGACAAAGCTGTTTTGGGTCTTCACACTTTCCTGAATGTTCAATTGTGGGTATTTTGTTTAACCTTTTCTTTTTCCTTGCTGTAAAGCAAAAATTTGTGGGTTTTCCATTTTGCTTTTTTCCCCCAGAAAAGGGCTCAGACATCAGAAAAAAAACATATTAGAAACCTTTAAGAAGAATCTTTTCTTCTTTTTCCTCTTTAGGTAATCCTGAAAATTTACTGGGCATTGAGCGTGCAGAGGAAAGGCCTAGAACTGAATGACAAAAAAAGACAAAGGACTGAAGAACGGCAGGTACTGTGCATCATGGAAGCTTCCCCATGAGTGCGTTTCCATTCATGTGCAGGACCAGCAACCCTCTGGGTTTGAAAGGTCAGCCCCAAATCAGGCTGCCACAAGCCTGCTCCTAGCTAGGAAACAGCATAACAGCTCTTGTCTTGAATCTCAGGTTATCACAAACTCCTAGAAAAGAAAGAAAGGAAAAATCCCTACATCACACCCACTCTTGCATAGAGCGTTTACAGTACAGTATGTGGCGGGGTGTTCCTTTCCTCTTGAACTGGAACACAGTGTAAACCAATACAAGGAGGCATAAGGCCAAGATGCAGGGAATGACAATAGCTATGGCTTTCACAGTGCTGGCTGTGTTGTCCAGTTTGATGACAATGTCTACATCATCTGGTGGGCTGTGTCCTTCTTTATCTCTGTCTGTTGGTCCGCCACAGCCCATAAAGTCCTTGAGGATGGATCTGGGATATCCAGGTTCTACCTTGAGTATCTGGTTGTTGAATTTCCAATACTCCTTTCCTTTGTAGAAATACGTAAAGCCTGGTGGGGGGAAAACACACACACACAGGAACCACTTATTTGTAAAAGTGTATATGTATAGAAATTTAATTAAATAGGATACTTAAAAGATGTATGTTAAAGCCACTCAATTTTTGTAGGAAAACACTATTCCCAGATCAGCTGTCTATTGAAATGGATCTGGCTCTTGTGCTCCAGAAACTGTGCCCTCAAATGCCTAGGGAAAGCTCAGCTGAAAGAGAGAAATAATATTTGCACAGAGTTGTTGAAAGACCATGCTTTATACATCTACTCTTAGTCTACACTGCAAAGAGAACTTCATACTGTTGCTCGCTTATAGGATTGCTGGTACAGAATTACACATTAGTGTGAGAGTATCAACCTGTATTGAAAGATGCTGAAACAGCCTTATAAACAGAAGCCCTGCTTGCCCTCATGCAGCTATTGAGGACATTGCGCAATACATCATAAGGAGGCGTCTCCATGAAACACCTCAAAGGAAATTTCTAATCATCTTAGCATCAGGAATAGTTGTACCCCTCCTAAGGAACAAGTTTGTTTTTGTCATTTGGAAAAAAAATCACAAGAAATCATAAATCATGAAACTAAAGGTGATTTCCTTTGTATGTTAGGAATTTTAATAAATACGTATTTATTGTATTTTGTGCAGTAACCTTTTTCAGCTCTAGGCCATGCCCATTTTGTCTCTTCTTTTGTCCTCATTTTTTAACTTTCTTATTTATTTAGCTTATGTTAAATTTTTATCACCTAGCTACATTTTACAGAAATTCTAAAGCTATTGTTAATCCTTTTAGAGTAAAGGATGAATAGAGTATAAATAAATCTATAATTCTATCTTTAATACTTCCAACTAACATATTTCATGGGGGAGGAGGTAGTATGTAGAAGGCTCAAGTAAGTTAGCAACACATATGATTTATGTTCCAAAACATTATGGATGCAGATAATAGATTTGTAAACTTGTGACAATTAAACTACAAATATGTGTTTTTCTTAGAACTATTCTCTTAACTTTTGTTTTTTTTTTTCCCCTAGGAGCAAGCCCAGGTTTTTCTTTCTGTCCATATCTCTTTCATGTCAAGTTTTTTTTGTGACTTTGAGATAAAATTCAAGAAAATAAGAAATGTTTTAATGTTGTAATCACTAAAAAACTATATTTTGGGAGATGTCTAATTTTGAATAGTATGCCTACTTTTGAGTTAATAATCATTAATGAGGGTTTTTCCCCTTCATTATTGAGAAGAATCAATATGGAATCAAGAATCAACTCATTATGGAAGAATCACTGTGTTAAAAACTTAGTAAATGGGGCTTCCCTGGTGGCACAGTGGTTGAATCCACCTGCTGATGCAGGAGCCTGTGCTCCACAACGGGAGAGGCCCGCGTACTGCAAAAAAAAAAAACAACTTAGTAAATGACATCTTTTAATCCTCATAAACACTCTGTCAGGTAGAATTAGCTACCTATACTTTTCAGGCAAAGATACTGAAGCTCAGATAAAATGATATGCCCTAGTCCTGTTAAAAAAAAATGATTTAAATCTTGGTCTAGCTTTAGAGCCTGAATCTTAATGATTTTTATAAGACCAGGTCCTTTAGAGATTTTTGTCTTTTCACAAATACTCCCTGGTTCAACATCACAGGTGGTGATAGACAGCACTCCTAAATCAATAACAACAAAAAACTCTGACATCTCTCAAAAACTTTCAGCTAGGATAGACCATCACTTCAGGTCACTTCATTCTAGAAATCATTCTGTTCAATGCCATGAAAATCAGCTATTGCTTTTAGTTTTGAAGGGCAGTTTTTCAATCAGAACAACTTGCCAAGTGAAAACAGGTGTATGTAGATTCAAATTTTTCTGCAGGGAGCTGGTATTTGATCACGCTAATGAACTCCAATGTAATTACTCAACAAGCTTGGATAAAGAAATGTCGAGGGCCTGCCAAATAAAGTGCATTAGACGATTATAGTTGAATAATGGCATTGATCTAGAATGAAACAGACCTTCCAGACAGGTGAATGTACTTCTTATATTTGTAAACTGGAAACCAACAGCTGGAAGTGTCCTCATCTTTAATGTTTAGTCAAAGCTAATTACTATCAAACTACTCGGTATCACATAAAAATTCAGAAGTTTCCATTTTCATATTTATCATGTCTGCAGGCCAAGTTCTATACTAACACACTCCATATACAGTAGAATTATAGTTGGCTGAATACACTTGTTAGAGGTAAGAAATCTAGTCAACAGGAGTTAAGAGAATAAAAGTAATTGAAAAGAAGTAGCCTAAAATCTTGGTAATAGAAATCTGTCAAACACTGATCCTGAAAAATTCATCTCATTCAATAATTTTTTTAACCATTTATGAAATATCAGTGGGTTGAAGAAATTTTTATATACTCATGTTTTGTTTCTTTTGTGAGTAACTTTGATGTTATAATCTTGCAGATGTTATGCTTACTAAGAGTAGAAACTTCAGATGAACTCACCTGAAGTATCATTTTTGAGAAATTCTGAGGTAGAAGTCAGTTAGGCTGTAATGAATTATATGATGACTTTGTTTTTCCTTGTATTTGATTGGTTTTCACTGGTGACTGTTCTATTGCTTAGTCATAAAATGTAAGGAGAAATTGTCTACCATAACTGTCTTTTTATAACTTCATAGAAGATCCTGCATGGCAGTGCCTGTGTGTTCTCTCTGTTTTCCACTATTGTATATTTATTAGTAAAAGTTAATTAATGTTTAACAAATGTGAATGAATAATCTGGGTCTTGTGATAATATTTGTTTGAATCCCACATGTAGATTTTAACAGAGAGTGAGGGTCGGGGTAGATAATTAATACACCAACAGAATCAAGAGTCAAACTATTTTAACAGGCTAAAAGTAGAGCTATAATCAGTAAAATAAAATGCAGCAGTGTTAAAGCAGAATCTTGTATTAACCTTAAAATTGCATTTTCTAAGGAGAGAATATAGAATACCTAGGAGGCAGGGCTTGACAGCAAGTAACTTAGAGATTTGAAGGTGGGTAAATGCAGTGATTATTTACTACAATTTTAGTATAAGTTAAAAACTCATGCTATTGTTTAAAACACTGTCAAAAGCAAGAAGAAATAATTCATATATATATATATGTATGGCATAAGTCATATATCATTTGGATTATTGTAGCTATTTTCAGGGGCTAAAAATAAAGAAGAAAATAATAAAATTGTTAAATTAAGATGGTTCCAGGTGAAAACTGGGATGATGATGGATTAGGAAGGTATATTCTGAGAAAGCCTAAGGTATATCTAATATGATAAAATGAAAAATCTGGCCTGACATGACAGATTGTCAATTACCTTAATGGTAAAATGTAGGAAAAGATGTTTTAATTTTTCCTCTTTGGAGAGAGTGCATTAGAGAAATTCAGTGAGGCTAGAATGGTCTAGTTTCAAACCGTAGACATATAATATCACCACCTTCATGATCATGAGTAAGTTAATTAAACTAGCTGATTCTGTTTTCCTCATTCATAAATAATTATAAATGAGGTAAAGAGGTATTTGTGTTGGACAATTAAATTAGATAACAAATTTATGTAGCACAACTGATAGATGGTGGGAAGTCAGTAAATCGCACCACATATTCACATTTCAATGGCCAAGGTGGCAGAATTAATATCAATAGGTATTATAGGAAGGCATATTCCACCTTAATATGAAAACATCCTTCAAAAATCTATAGCTCAATTTTAAGCTTCTGAGTTTTTTTGTTTGTTTGTTTGTTTTTGAAAACTACCATAAGAAGAAGATCCCTAGGAAGAAATTCCTACCTTGGTGGAAGGGTGAAGAATTAGAGAAAACATTTCATTGCTCTATCATCTCTGACTTTATGACCATCAAGTATCATATGCATGGACTTATCCTTATAGGGAATTACTTTGAGTATATAAATTTATTTATATTTATATAAATATAAGTGTGTTTGCTCAATAAATTGAACTTGATCTTCTATAAAAAACATAAGGGAAGAAGTTGTGTAAAATTTGAATTCAAGGTAAAAAAACACAAGCATGAGATTTGAACAGAGAATTAAAAGTGGAGAATTTGCTATTGGTAGACTATCTAGACTAAGACGTTCCAGATTGATTAATATCACTACCCTACAGAACAAGGGTTTCAAACAAATAGGAGATCTCCTTCAATGCAGGGAGTGAAGGTCTAGAGTAATGGAAAGGATAAAATTAATTTCAACAACTAATGTTTATTGAATGGTTACTGTGTACCTGCATTTGAGAGTTTACACTAGAGGGGATAACAAACAGGCATATAAATTGATTGTTGTAATATGAAATTTTGAGGGCAAGGGATGGTGTACCAAAAAGGATATTCAAGGATTCCTGAAAGATCAAAAGTGAGCTCAATGTTGAAGGATATCAAAGAAAGGGCTGGACCAGGTAAGGTACAGAAGACATAGATGTGTTGAAGTTTCATCTGTATTTTTTTGTCATTTGTAAACACTGGTTTTTCCAACATGCTTTGGGGTTTTTTTGCCAGTATTTTACAAAGTTATTCTTTGCCATGTGAAAATAAAATATTAAATTCTGAATGTAAGGAAACCATTTATACTAAACAAATATTATTTTCAGATGGACAAGAATATGAAAAATCATGGGGCAAGATGCAGCCAGAAGATTTTTTTGTTATCTTTATATAATTATGATTTATTTCCAGAGAACCTGAATCAAATCTCAAATTTTAATGGACTTACAAATAGAAACAGGGGAAAAAAAAACAGTTAAGATGCTAAGGAATTAAGGTTATGTGTACTTTTTCAATCTTTTGAAATAATTATTACTTATTTTAAAAGTTATTTTTATTATGAACGCTATATTCATTTTAGAATATTAATAAAGGAAAGAAATTGAAAAAAAAATTATCAAACTTGCTATACTTAATCACTGGTAAGATTGCGGCTTAATTTTCTTTGCATATATTTTTGTATAGTGTGTGATAACTTTTACTGAGGGCAGTCTAGAGCAGTGGTAGAACTTCTATAAAGGTAAGCTAGAGCTGGTTTTATCTGGGCTGAAACAACCCCCTTTAATCTAACCTCAAGAAATCTCCTCTCCTCCTTAGATTCTTGGTGACAGCTCTAATTTTAGGGGATCATCTCAATTTTCTGCTTTCCATGTGATTATCTTTCATGTTTTTTCACTGCTTTGTCTTCTGCATCTTCATAGTTTGTGGAGTTTTTTGCCATATATTGATATGGTTTTACTGTCTCCAATTTGACTGCATTGTAACTTTATTTTCTTATTGATTACCTTTTTATCTCAGATAGATATGTTTCATTTCAATCTGTCCTCTCCTGTGGATTTCTGCGTTTGTCACATACAGGCTATATATTAACTTGGTCCTTTAACTCTCTGAACGAATAGAATACACAAAAAACTATAATTCCAGTAAGTGCTATAATCAGGGATTCAAGGTTCTTTTTGACTTAACATACAGTGTTTTACTTGTGGGATATCCTTACACAGAATGTAGTATAAATTACATATAACAATGGTCAAAACACAGTTTGTGTTTGATTTTTCTGATTGGTATCATCCTGGGTGTCAGTTCGTTCAAGCTTGTACTCAGTGTAAAGCTTTCTTAAACTCTGGCAATTGCTGATGATCAGCCATTGTTTTCAGTGGGTCGTGTCAATTTTTCATTTTCCCCATTTCTTCATTATTCTTTTTTCAATATTCCTCTCCAAGATGCACTTAATTTTCCTCTTGCAAGTGATGTTTATTTTGTTCTTGTTGCATATATGTTATGGATTTTTCATGCTATTTAGGACCCACATAATGTATTATTTTCTTCTCGTTCCTATTATAAATCATCTGAGAGGGTATTTTCTTTTTCTCTGTATTTCAGTTTGATGTCACTTTCCTTTGTTCTGGAATATTGTGTATAAATTTTATTTTGAATTATTAATATTATGGTTTATTTCTACTTACTAATCCCTGGATGTGGAGAGAAATGTTCAAACTTTACCAACAGATACAGAAGTATCAATTACCCATTGCTTGGCTAACTTCCCTTAGTATCTGGCTGAATCCCGAATCCTGAGATGGAGAGCAAGGCAGCTCTGTGATCTGTTTCTGTTATTAAGCAATCATACATCTACTCTAGCCTTACTGTATTGAGCTGGGATCTTTCTTGTTTGCTGACACTATAGGACAAAGGCACACATGAAAAATTATAATCCTCAACATGCTGTACAATCCTCAGCCCACATTTATAGCATATCTTCTTTGTGACCAGCTTCTGTCCCACATATGTCTGTTATTATTATCTTTGCATGAATTTTAGTAGAAAATAGGTGAGGTTACTTCAAAGGAATTAACACTCTTCATTTTTAAAAATTACTTTTTTTTTCTTATAAACTAAAATAGGTTGAGGTTAAAAAAACATCTTGAGCATAATATTAAATATAAATCTATGAAGGAAATTTTATATAAATATAATATGAGATAGCCCTAGTATGTTACTTTCTAATCATTTAACATAGTGAACAAGTAGGTTAGATTATTCAAATACTTAATAAGCTCATGAAATATATAATGCACATGTTGCATACCATTTTCTTTGTGCACAAAGGCTCCCTGAGGAGATTCGGGGATACCTTTCCAGACTGTGATTGGTTTGGGATAGCCAGGATCCATGGTTTTCATTTCTTCACTATATCTCCAATACCTGAAAAGGATAAATAAACAACAACAACACATGCATAGGAAAGACAATTATGTATATAAACAATAACAGCTAGCTAGCATTCATTAAATCCTTGCTTCATGCTACCTATGTACTTGTTAGTGATTTAAAGAACTGATTTAAATCATGCAAAGACAGTGTACACAATTTATTCTGTTTCTTTTTTAGAATATGCTAAAAATGGATATGCTATTTTATATTTATTCAGTCTGCTAAAAATTAATTTTAAAACTCTAGCTAAGCATAGTTACAATTCAAAAGGGTATCACCAACCTATGTAGAAATCAGAGGTTTTCATGATTTTTAAAAATCTTACTTAGGCACCAGAATACATCATTTGAAATAAGCATAATCTTGATCCATTTACCCATTCATTTATTTAACAAATATTTATTGAGTACCTACTGTGTTTCCAGCATTACTGTACGTGCCAGTGATACAACCTTGGACAAAACAGACATGTCCCAGCTGTTATCAATCTTATATTTTAAGATATGTAGAGATTACAGGCAAAAAAAAAAAAAATGTCAATAAGTGCATACTATCATAGGAGGTGGTAAGATCTATTAAGAAAACAAAGCAGAAAAAATTACTGGATAGCAAGGTCTTTGATAAGCTGTTGTTTGAGCAGAGAGCAGAAAGAAGTGAGAAGCAACATTCTGTAGTTTTGGGGAGCATAACATTCCAGGTAGAGTAACTAGTTATCAAAAGTTTCTGTGGCAAGCATAAGCCTGGAGCGCTTGAGCATCCACAGTGAGGCTAGAGTGACTAGAATTGAGTTAGCAAAAGGGAGACAAGGTCAGAGTGGAAACAAGCACCTGTGATTAGATAGACCCTTAAACTATGGCAAAACCTTTTGTTTTCCTCTAAGAGAGATGTGAAACCAATGAAGACTTTGAGCAGAGGACCTTCAAGATATGGCTTTTTTTTTAAAGGAACACACTGCTGCTATGAGTTCAACAGATTGAAGGAGGTAAAGTAGAAGAAGAGATACTGGTTAGGATGTCATTTCAGTAATCCTTGGGCTAGAATGTGTGCTGGAGAACTGATGATGATTCAAGGAATTGGGATATTATTTTGAAGAAAAAGACCAAAGAACTTACTAATGGATTGAATGCAGTATGTGAGAGAACAAAATTGAGCATAACTCAAGAATTTGGGACCTGAACAACTGGAAGAATAATCTTCCCATTCAGTGAGATAAGGAAGCATGGAAAGGTAAGTTAAGGAGGTTTGAGGAATTGTGAGTTTGATTTTAAGCATGTTAAAATCAGATGCCTGTTAAACATCAAAGTAGTTGTTGATGAAGCAATTAGGTATATGACTGTAGACTTTAGGGCAAGTCTTGACTAGAGTTCTTGGTGTATAGATGGATAAACAGATAAAAGCAAAGCTTGCTAAGAGTGAGAACTCTCAGAGCTCTCATCCCTCCACAGGGTGGCCATTGGACCACTTTCACAGACCCATTAGACATCTAAGGAAAAAATTGCGAACCTTCCTACTTTGGATCACTCATTATTGCCTATATGTTCTAAGAGTCAAAAATTTTATGTCTGAATATTCAAAAGGATTGACAAAACTGGGGTGAAACCACTGGGAGTTCACAATGATATTGCCTATTTTAGGGCAGGCATAATGCTCTATGCATTATATCAAATGTTTATTCACTATAAACTCATGAGAGAATTGTCATTGTCTCCATTTGAGAGAGGAGAATTCTTGGAGGACAATGACTTATAACCAGTTCTGTTCCATTTCAAAAGTCACTATTCTTTCTTCTACACATACCAAATATTTTGACAACATTTTCTCCCCCACACCACTAAATATCTCTTAACATATGCTAAAGGTAGCATTTCACCAACAGATTTGTGAAGTAACACACAATGCATTATCTTGGGATTAGGCATTTAGCTTAAATCAGAAAAAGAGAAAAAAATCCAGTCTTTTCTGTATATTCTCTTGTTTCAGGTCTATGGAGAATCCTTTATCTACAGAGCTGTGGGATCTTGTAAAGAATGTTTTTCTATAGATTCCCAGATACCTCAGATAAGTAACATGTGGAATATTAGCACTTCCTCCATCTTCAGTGTTCACATGGAAAAGAAAAGAAGATTGTTTCAGGATGTATCCCAATAATAAGCCACAAGGCAGATTTTATCCAGACAGGAAAACACACTGTAGAGGTGTTTGTCATAGATTCTTATCACATAGAAGATAAAGGCAGATTTGATAGAGAGATCAGGAAAAGCTTCAGGGAGAAGCACTGAGCTGAAATAATGGTAGCCAGGCCTATATTTCTGAAGAAGACAAGTAGGGAGTGCAAAGTTCTACCAAAACTAAAGTATATTTTCTTTCATGGAAACATCTGCTTTTAAGTTATTTTTGAATATTCCTCTATCACAGAACACGCTGTGATGAATATAGCATGGTTAATGGGGTTGAGATTGCACTCAGAATCTCCAGATCTCTTCTCTCAAGTAAATATTTCAATTGGATTTACAATAGTCATATATATTTACTGGTTCCTGAAGTTGATCATAAAGAAAAGTTCTCACAGAGAAATCATCAAATACCTTATTTCACAGATTCTAAGATACATATTTTTTCACATTTCACATCTCTATTATAGGTATTTCACATCTCAATACTATGTCAAATTATACTGGGCAGAGTTTTCCCCTCAATGATAGATTAAATTATGATGTATCTTACAATAAATGGCATTTTTAGATGGCATAAACCATAACTTAAAGCAAGTTTTAAAATTTTGCTAACCCAGGAATAATTTAAAATCCTAGGGACAATGGGATCACACTCTACATATGATTTAAGGAAGATTACTACATATTCAGAAACCAGGTTTGTTCTCCAAGACGTAGTTATAACAATGTTCATGTAACAATACCTATTCTTCATGTAGTGCTTTGTAGCTATAAAGTAAATTTATATACATACATTATTTTAATCTTATTTCACTAAAATCCCTCAAATATCTTTTGTATTGCATATTAAAACATACTTATGCTGAGGTCTTAATATAGATATAGTATATATGGTCACCCAATTCAGTCAATGACAAAGCATTGGGCATCATATTATTCAAAGGTAAGGTCTTAGTCATATTTGCTCTTCTTGAATGTTAGAGTTGAAATTCAAAACTAATGGTCTTTGATTCATAGTTTAGTACAATTTTCTACCACAATTCTCCTAGTGTTTCCCTTGACATAGCATTTTTGCATTAATCCCCCTGTCATCTTACCCTCTTGGGGCCCTCACTCAAATTCTTAATGTTCACTGTGTCAATATAATTTTCCTTCATCCCTTGCTCTATTTGCTTATAGATCCATTTGCCTACCAACACTTTTTTGAGCACTTATGTGCAAGACACATAAGATTTATTGAGATCACATTTCAAGAAAATATTTATGGAATGTGAATTTTATTGTACCCTCTAGTAGGAACATAATCCTGGTATGAATTTTTCAGGATAAAAACAATTTTTCCCTCTTTTTGTTAGTAGGTAATGCAAAACTATAACTTGGGATCATTTCACCATCTTTGAAAAACTCAGCATAAGATTGGACCCTCAGGTTACCTGCTGTGTCAGCTTTGATATATGTCCAGTAAACTTCAATGTGATTAGAATCATCTAATTATATTCAATCATAATATTATTCAGTCCATTATATTATTATATATACACATTATATCCAGCTGTCTTATAAAAATGTTGAGGCTTATTCATAAATATAGGTTTGCATTTTAATTTCTAACATATCTGAACATATTTCAACATGAACAAAAAAGCTCATCCCACTGATATTTTTCTCCCTGAAAAATAGGCCTATAGGTTCATTGAGAAGTATATTAGCATATTCACCTGGAACATTATGTAAATAAGCCACTTGGAGGGGTTTAAGATTTAGATATTATAATGGAAAAATTTTGGAATTTTGTGCAGTAAGGTCAGCAAATGATAGTAGCTATTATAAATAAAGCTTATATTTTTTTCTTCGGATATATCAATAATCTCTGCAGTAGAATCATGACTTTAAATTGCTGATTCTTTGAGAAAAGCATTGTAAATCAATCCTTTAAAATAAATTATGAACGGAAATGGGATTTATTCATCATTTTTTAGATTTGATCATGAGTCATAACCATAAGACAAAACAGTTGTCCGTGTAATAGTATAAAACAATTTCTTAAATTCCTTCTGTGTGAACAAATAAATGGTATAGAAAATTCTGAAATGACATACTTTAATGTTTCTGGATACTGAACTCAAACTGAACAGAAAGTGGCTCCAAGGTTGATTTCATATGATCTGGTCATTTCTTCATCCACTTTGTCTCATTTTCTTACTCTAGAGTCAGACTACTTGCCTCTGTTATCACAAAACCCAGGGCCACTTTTATTCACACCGAAATAATCATAAAAAATCTCTTTCTTCAGAAGCCTTATTAAAAATGCAACAGAATTGAAAATATCAATCTGTACTCTGTTGGATAATTTTAAAAACACAAAAAGGAATTACTTCATAAACACACACCTTAAGCTATAGGAAATAAATGTATTTTTCTGTTTGGCTATTAGTAGTAATAATAATAAAACAAACCAAAATAGATCTAAATTTTATCTTCTTTCTTTGAAAATGTCTTAAAATCCTCAATGGTTCAGCCTAGAATGAAGTATGAAAAGAGAGTCTTGGGTATATTTGTGAGAAGATGCTGAGATGATTTAGGAACATAGCATTTTAGAGCTAAATGCTATGAAGATCAAAATGTATCCAAGTATCAAATTATAGTATATTAAGAAAATGGCAAGTAGGAGTCTGAGGGGCTGAGTTCCATGCTATATGTGAAACAGTGAAACTGGACATTTTAATCTGAATTTACAGATCTGTTTAAAGAACCACCATTTCCTCTACACTTCTTTAGCTATCTCTATAATTATGAGATTTCATGTCGGCCCTTACTTTCAATACAATTTATATGAAATTACTCTCAGATCTGTGCCTCCAACCCACCTTTCCTTGTGAACTGTTACTACCTGCTTGATTTCTCTAATTGGTGTGTAAGCAGGTATCTCAAACCGAAAATGAACATTTCAAACTCTTAGTCCTCTTCTCCCAGTATTCCTTCCTTTCTTTGCTACATCTTCAGAAATGGCACCATCTACTCAATTATTTAGGCAATAAACGTAGATGTTGTCTTTGATTTGCTTTTCTCACCCCTAAAATCCAAGCCTTAAGAAAAACTTGTTATGATTACATACAAAATGTAAACTGTACTCTTTGCTCCATCTCCACTGCTACCATTGTGTTCCCCTGTACTACTTCAACAGCCTACCAATTAATCTCCTTGCTTCCACTTTTGAAGTCTATTCTTCGCACGGAGGCCATAATGATGCTTTTGAATACACAACAGAACATGCACTTTCCTGTTGAAGACCCTCCAATGTTTTCCATTGTACTTAAAATTAAAAAACCCAGTCTTTAAGAGATATGGGAACATATGTATACATATGTTATAAAGCAGAAACTAACTTATACTTTGTTATAAAGCAGAAACTAACACACCATTGTAAAGCAATTATACCCCAATAAGGATGTTAAAAAAAAAAATCCAGTCTTTGCCATGTTCTACAGGGCCTCGTAATCTGGTCCCTGCTTACCTGTGTGACCTCCTTGACCACTTACCCACTATGCTATAGCCACAATATTTTTTTCTGATTTGAACATTCTAACATTTTTGCTTTTCTACTGTTATTTCAGGTACTTACAACACACTGTTCTGAATAGCTTTGTGTGGTTGAAATTTCTCCCCACTAAAGTCCTTGAATCAGTGTCCCCTTCACAATTTAGGCCTTTCTTGACCTCCACACTAATTTCCCAACCACTCTTTACAACCCACGAGCCTCTATCACATCATCACCTATTATATTCCTTGTAGTGTTTCTCAATGTTAACATATCAGGGTCATTTATTTCTTCTCTGTTTACAACTATCACCCCTAATAGAATCTAAGGACCATGGGAGAAGAATACGTGTGTTTTTTTTACTACTATATCTTCATTACCTAGTACATGTCACATAGTATGTGCTCAAAAAATGTTTTAACTAAATGAGTGAAGGATATGCCAAGATGAGTACAGAAATCTTATGCAAGCAGGAATTAGAGCTATTGAGAATGTAATGGGCTGTCTCATATTTATGCTGTCACCACAGGTAGTCAGGTACAGAAGGATGAATACCTATGGAATGTAACTGAGGCAGTCTAGATTTTGGTAGGAAGTGAATATGATGTAGGACTGACATATGGCAGCACTTGAACCAAATATAATTTAAAGGTATGCTTTGTTTGTCTAGCAAATTATATAAATGATTCTGATTTTGAATGCTTTTCTAGAGTATTTGTACTTTCCAGCTCACCACAGTACCTATCACTCCCTACTGCCATATATATTACTCCTACACCCAGCACTGTATATATTATTTGCCTGATCCCTTAAAGCAATTGAGTTTTTTACACCAGGACTAGGTTATTTCTAAAATCCTTTACTGATCTTAACCTTAGAGAAATAGAAATCTGTTTTACATTTTTTTAAAACAGAAAAATGTCAATGAAATAAGAGGAAGAAATAAATAAAGATAAATGTTTTCAATATTTTCTCTCAAAATATACATGGAAAAAATATATAAAGTTAAAATTGATAAGTATTGTAAATATATAATGCCTATAAGGAAGAAAAACTCACTGAATTCTCATATAAAAGTGATAAGCAAATTGTTGTTTTTATGTTTGAGTTAGATAGTTTAATGTCTTTTCCATATACTTTTAATCTAGAGTGAATGTATTAATAAATTGTGTGACTTTGGAATTAAGCAATTATACAAATATGAAATCATCTATTTGTAAAACATCTATGACTCATGAACTCATATATAAGATCGCACACATGGAAATTTGTTGGGATCCTGCTCTAAATATTTTTAAAACCTATAAAAGCAGTTATTTAAGCAGAACTTAAAATCAAACTATTTCTATATATTTTGTTATATCTTGCATGAAGCTTGTCAAGTCAGAAATAAATCAACTAAAACTCCTTTTCTCATTTACTATATCTTTATTCCATTATAAATTTGGTATGTAACCTTTATTGATTTCACTGACTTGAGGTAGCCCACATTTAATTTCTAAACTTAATTTTTTCAAGAAGTGCTAAGCTTTTAGAATGGAAACATTTTTAAAAGTATGGCTAACTGATAATAAAATGGCAGTTTTTATTGTCATCTATGAAACCCTCATTAAAGCTATTATATGAAAGTTAAGCTTTCATGTTTTGTCCTGTAGAAGTTAATTTCCCCAGGGTGTCTTCTCAGCCTTTTGTTTCTACCCCTTTCTGGGGGTGGGGGTGGGGTGGGGACAATACAGGACTGTATTGAACCTAGTCCTGAAAGAGTACATTCAAGCAATTAAAGCCAGCTGAGGAATTAAACTCTAACAACCTAAGTGTTGTTATTTTAAAGAATATAAGTCCACAGATTTATTTTCATTAGGGTTCACCATGCTGTGGCAATTTCTTCATTCTTCTTTTTTCATACTTTAACTACATATCTCTTACTGAGAGTCATATACTTTTTTGTGATGATAAGTAGTATCTTCTACATTAATAAAGTTTTTGATGAATCATTTTATTTTGTGATTTAGTAAGAAACATTCAGCAAAACCTTAGTTTCATCGTAGTGAATTAAAAGCTATAAATATTTTGCCATAGAAATATATACAAATTTAATGTATAAAAAGCTTGTAACAGAATAAAATTATACATTTTTATCCATGGACACAAATGATAGGATCTTTTTGTTCACGGATAAAGCTCAATGTTTTAAGTCACTTGCTATCAAAAATTACAAAGTGTAAAATAAACAAGGTTTATATCCTTATTTTTTTCATGAAGTTGGAGACATTTTATAGGGTTACATTATGTTAAGATTATAAGGCAAACAAATACTAGCTTGTTGCTCATTAAAACCTGTTGTTTTTATGTGTGTTTGTGCATGTGTGTGCTTTAAATTTACTTGTAAAATAACATATTTAAGTTTTACCTAACAATGAAGGTTACTTATGAGTGTCACATTTTGACCCAACTAGTAAAAGTGTAACTAAAATTTGATTTTTCATCTTTATTTCTTTTTAACCTAATATTAATTTAAAATAATAAAAATATAGCCTTCAGCTTATATTTTATATGTAATATCTGTCAAAAAGTAGGCAGGGGGTGAAATTAGTATGCCTAGTGACTACTGTATTTCATAAAGTAATAGTTCACTTTGTTTTACAAACCCTGTTAGTAATGTCATAAAAGGAAAAGAAATGACAGAAAATAGCAAGAGATATTATACTTCAAGCTAAAAGTGTTTAGTCCAGTGATAGTTTAGTTAGTTCATTGCACCTATCTGCTGGTACCTAAATAAATAGTGTCCTAAGAAATAGAACTCATGACTAAACTGAAAGTATTTGAAAATGTTCAAAATTAACTGTGTGAAGAGTGTAAAAATTTAACTTTAAATATAAAAGCAAAAAAAAAAAAGCCTCTCTAAAAAGTACTTTTTAAGTAAAGTAAGTAAAATTACAAGAAAATGCATTGTAAGGATAAAATACACTACATATACAGCTTTATAGGCATGTTAAGATTATACAGAAGAAAAAGAATATATACTGTATATATATACATTCATAAGAAAGTCGCATTACTTGGGTATATTCGAGAAAGATTTATCTTGAATATTATTTTAAAATGTTTAAAAATGGTTGCAGGGCTTCCCTGGTGGCGCAGTGGTTGAGAGTCTGCTTGCTGACGCAGGGGACACGGGTTCGTGACCCGGTCCGGGAAGATCCCACGTGCCGCAGAGTGGCTGGGCCCGTGAGCCATGGCCGCTGAGTCTGCACGTCCGTAGCCTGCGCTCCGCAACGGGAGAGGCCACCAACAGTGAGAGGCCCGCGTACCGCAAAAAAAAAAAAAAAAAAAAAAATGGTTGCAATTCTATTAATTCTTGTGCTTATATTTACACAGATTCTTTCCTCAAATGTACATGCCTATTATAGACTAGATATATTGACTTCTCTAAACATTAGTTAACTGTTTTCCTCATGTGAAGTGTGTACTGACCTGTCCCCCTTGAAGAAATAGGTTTTCCCGACGTCCTCCCACCAAATGGCTGAATCAATACCATGAGGGGGAATTCCACTTCCAAGAGTAATCAAGTCATGAGGGTAGCCAGGTTGAAGAGTCGTGTCCTTGAACACCCAATATTTGTTACCTGTATGAAATAAGTGCAAATGCAGAATACACTAATTTAATGTCAGAAATTAGAATATATCTACTAACACAATGCATTTAAAATTCTTTTACATGAAATCCATGAAATAATTTAGTAGCAGTCACACCTGGAATACTGACATTATTTTTGAAACATAAATGTTGGTTTCAGAAGTGGACAAAATGAAAACTTAATAATGTAATCAGAATTTGTGTGTTAATTTAAGAAATAAAAAAAGATCTACAGCTTGCCATATTGAAACAGTTTTGAATCAAGGGTCAGGGATTCTTCCTCTAGGAATTAGAGGCCTTATTTTCATTCAAGGCTAAATCATTCCTGTGTTTTGGGCATTCTATATGCCCTCAGATTGCTGTACTGATTACAACCTCTACTCTGTTAAAACACTTCTTCTGGGCTGATCCTTTTCTTTTAATATATAAACATTCACAAGTCCATCTAGTTTAATAAAGTCATCCTCTTTTGACATGATGCCCTCTTCTAGCTGTTACACTATGCTTCTCTTTAAGAATGGTGACTGAAGGTAGCAAAATTTTAACCCTAAACTTGTTCAGAATTGCCAGAGTATGGCAATACTAAAAAAAAGATGAACTTTAGTCAGCTTTATTACTGTTTTGAAATTATCTACAGACAACACACTTCCTCATGCCCTACACCCCTGGCAGACTATGTACACCACTCCCCTCTTTGGTATGACTCTCAAGTAGTCTGCAACCATTTCTCACTTCACTGAAAGTTGACTTAATACCCATTGTCTACTGAAACGTTTTGTCCTGGAGTCACCAATACCTACAATTTTCCACCCTTATCTATTGACACAGTTGCCCACTTAAAGAACTTTTCTCCCTGAGCTGCTGGAAAACCATTTTGTTGTTGTTGTTGCTCTTTCTTCTCTAGCTGCTTCTCTCTGAGACTCATTTATTTTACTCAGTCCTTGAATGTTGACATTTCCCAAGGCTCTGTTCTCTGCCCTCTTCTCTTTTAATTTTAAATTGTACAGGGACAGAGTGGTGTCACAAACTCAAATACTTATAAGGGCCAGTCTAGAGATGACAGGAGTGGAGTGGCAGAGGTATTCAAATATTGAGACACATCCTGGATCTTTCTATGCTCAAGCAACTTCTTGAGTAATTAACTCCTCTTGAGGTTAATACCTGGCAAATAAAACATTATGTTAATATTTTACAAAGTATCCTGTGTCCTTTCTACTAGACGTAAGGCCTTCCTCATTGTTAAAATATTTCAATACTACCTGTAGCTGAGGACTATGATAAACTGTAGCATTCATGTTATACCTGAAGGAATTTAAAAAAATTTAAAACCACTTACTAGCCTAAATCAACACAACACAAATGAACCAAAAAAAACACATCTTCAGGCTAGATTTAGGTAGGAGTCTCTAGTTTGTAACCAGGTTAATCTTATTTGCCCCAAGAGTTTCTACTACCATTTGTTATCATTTTAAATTAAAACAACATTTGTTGAGTACCTCCAGTGTCCTAAGTGTCATGTTAGGTACCAAGGATACTAAAGAGAACAAGAAAGACCTGATCACTACCCTGATCATCCCACACTCAAGTGAATTCAGCAGATGAAAAGCAAAAACACAAAAATGTAATTATAGTAATTGAAAAACTGTTGAATGTTACAAAGGAAACACATCAGGGGTTGAGAAAAAGAAAACATAAGGGGAACTTACTTTAAATAAGGATATCAGGAAAGCATCTCTGAAGAAGTAGCACTTAAGCCAAATTTAAAGAAAGAGAAGAAGGTGATACCTATGCAAAGAATGCAGGGAAGAGTGCTCCAAGAAAAGCAGAGTTTTATATGATTAAAGTTGAAAAAAGATCCTTGGAATGTAATAAGCAAGAAGATAGTAGCACTGAAAACCTATATGATGGGCTTGGATATTAGTTTGAGTACACTAGTAAGCCATCAAAGAGATTAAATTAGCAAAGGCATATGGTCTGTTTCCTATTTTCAGAAGATGATCTTTGGTCTTTTGTTGAAAATGGATCTTAGAGAGAAGAGTGGAAATGAGAAGCTCTATCAAAGATCTTTTGCCGGGAAGAACCCTCAAGATGGAGGAGGAGTAAGACATGAATCTCACCTCCCCCCAGATACATTATAATGTATTTATAAATGTATGTATGTATTTATAAATGTATGTATTTATAAATACATCTACACAAGGAATGACTCCTACAGAACATCTACTGAACACTGGCAGAAGACCTCAGACTTCCAAAAGGGCAAGAAAATCTCCATGTAACTCGGTAGGGCAAAAGAAAAAAAAAAAAGAGAAAGGAATCAGGACAGGACTTGCACCTATAGGAGGGAACTGTGAAGGAGGACAAGTTTCCTCACACTAGGAAGCTCCCTCACTGGCAGGGACTGGGGGGAGCTTCAGAGCCTCAGAGGAAAGCACAGCAACAGGTGTATGGAGGGAAAAGCAGAGAGAGTCCTGCACAGAGGGTCCCAGCACTCTGTAGCCTGATACATTTGTCTGCTTATCCACAAGAGCAGGTGGGAGCTGGGTTCTGAGACTTCGGCTTCAGAGGTCAGACCCCAGGGCGGGGACTGGTGTTGGCTGCATGAAGACAGCCTGAGGGGCTAGTATGCCACAAATGAGGGAGTCTGGGAAGAAGCTTGGGCCTGCCAGAGAGACAAGGAACCATTGTTGGGGGTGCATGAGGAGAGGAGCGGGCCTGCCATAGGAGCTTCTTCTGCTCACAGGCAGAGGACACAGTCTACATGAGCTTTAGGGGTGGGCGCGAGCTGCAGCTGCTATCTCAGACCCTAGAGGCAGGAGCTGACTGCTACTGCTGCCACCACTGCTGCCAAGGGTCCTGTGAGCAATCACAGCTCACTGCCCACAACTTCCCAGTGGCTTGTGAAGCCCACCACTGTCAAGGGGCCCACAATCCAGAGCCAACTTCCCCAGGAGAGTGAAGAGTGAGCCCCAGGCTATTGCAACTTCCTGCTGGTCTCTGCCACCACAGGTACTCCCCTCACATCTCAATTGTGGCTGCCATATCAATTGCCTTAGTAAACCCTACATCTGTAGAATATCTGAATTGTGTCCCCACAATTGAGGTTGGTCTAGCTTTAACAACTGTGGACTTTGGGGGTAAGGACATGCAGGAGTTGGGCAGGTCAAAGTCTGAGCTGGGCTCACAGTGCCCATGTCAGGGCCAGAGACCTACTTAGAGGTATAGGAAGACTTCCTGGGTAGGCAGGGATTGGCTGTGGCTCACTCTGGGGTTAAGGACAATGACAGCTGAGGCTACAGGAAAATAATAATTATTATTACTATTTTTTATTGTTTTGTTTATTCTGTTCTTTTCCATTATTCTTTTAAGTTTTAATTTTTATTTATTTTTTCTTTTCTTTTTTATGCTTTTATTTTTAATAAGTTTTTATTTTATTTTTTCTATTTTTACTTTTTTTTGTAATATTGTATTTTTTCCTGGTTTTTGGTTTTTTTCTTTGTTTTGTTTTTATATTTTTTAACTATATTTTTTAATTTTTACTTTATTTTTTTGTTGTTTTCCATTTTTTCCATTTATTTTCTTCTTTCTTTTTTTCATCATTTTTGTGTGTTTGTTTTATACTTTCTTTGACATTTTTTAGTTTGCTTTCTGCTTTTGATTTGTTTTTTGTTTTTGTTAGTTTAACTTTTATTGCTTGTTTTCATTTTGGGGTTCATTTATTTCTTTGGTTGCTTTCTTCTTTTTTGTCTTCTCTGTTTTTTTTTTTTTCTGTTTGTGTATCTGTATTTCTTTGTGTGTGATTGTCTGTTTGATTTTGCTATAACCATTTGTCTTGGGGTTTATCTTTGTCAGTTTGTTTTCTTTATTTTTTTTCTTCCATGCTATGCAGATTGCAGGGTCTTGGTTCTCTGACCAGGGGTTGGCATAAGCCTCTGAGGTGGGAGAGCTGAGTCCAGGACACTGGATCACCAAAGAACTCCTGGGCCCAGGGAATATTAATTGGTGAGAGCTCTCCCAGAAGTCTCCATCTCAACAAGAAGACCTGGCCCCATCCAACAGCCAGCAAGTTCCACTGCTAGACATCTCATGCCAAACAACTAGAAAGACAGGAATACACCCCCACACATTAGCAGACAGGCTGCCTAAAGTCATACTAAACTCACAGACACCCCAAAATACAACATCTGGCATGGCCCTGCCCATCAGAGGGACAAGATCCAGATCCACCCACCAGAATGCAGGCACCAGTCACCCCCCCACACACACACACCAGGAAGCCTACACAAGCCACTGGATGAACCTCAAACACTGGAGGCAAACACCAAAAGACTGAGGGAATGCAACCTTGCAGCCACGCAGCCTGCAGAAAGAAGGCCCCAAACACAGTAAGTTAAACAAAATGAGAAGACAGAGAAATATGTTGCAGAGAAGGGAGCAAGGTAAAAACACACAAAACCAAATAAATGAAGAGGAAATAGGCAGTCTACCTGAAGAGAATTCAAAGTAATGATCATAAAGATGATCCAAATCTCAGAAATAGAATTGAGAAAATACAGAAACATTTAACAAAGACCTAGAAGAACTAAAGGATAAACAAACAGTGATAAACAACACAATAACTGAAATCAAAAATACTCTACAAAGAATAGATAGCAGAATAACTGAGGCAGAAGAATGGATAAATGAGCTGTAAGATAGAATGATGGAAATAACTGCCATGGAGCAGAATAAAAAAACAAAAAGAATGGATAGAATTAAGGACAGTCTCAGAAACCTCTGGGACAATATTAAGTGCACCAACATTCAAATTATAGGGGTACCAGGAGAAGAAGATAAGGAGAAAATGTTCTGAGAAAATATTTGAAGACATTATAGTCAAAAACTTCACTAACATGGGAAAGGAAATAGTCAATCAAGTCCAGGAAGTGCAGAGAGTCCCATACAGGGCAAAGCCAAGAATAAACATGCCAACACACATATTAATCACAC